AAATTGAAATTTATGCATTGCCAGAACTGGACTAGATTGTTTTTCGAGGCTTAGCTATTTGGTTGGTGTTCTAATCATCATTGTTCCATATGTCTGTTAGCCTGGGTCTTTTCTACAAAGGTGGGATGATTCTGCCAATTATGTGACATAATTTCTTTCCCTTGGAAGTCTTTTTGTGTGTATTTCACTTGCAATTGCTTATTGAGCTTGTTTATCTTTGAACAGAGGTAATTTAAATCTCACACTTTTACCAAATTTGGAATTGCGCATCTCATTCACTGGGGACGATGGCCTTATGGAGAGAGTGGCAACATTGAGCACAGATGCTCAATGCTCAGCTGTAGAAATTGGAGAAATTTCTGCAGATAAGTCTGGACGATCTTTCTTGATCAAGATCCCAGATTGTGAGATTTTCTATTTTTGGTGCTCTGAAAAGTCTAAGCTTCTGGGGAATGAATTGCTCAGAAAGGTATGATCAGTGTAATAATTAGCAGCATGTGCACATATATTTGCAGTGTATTATTTTTAATTTTTGTATTTTCTTGGCTGGTGTAGATGAAGGATTTACTTACGAGGAAACCATCACTAGCTGAATTAACGGGAATTAATGATTCACGCTTCAACTGTTTTGCGAATCATCTTCGAGCTTATCTTTCTGGATCAATGATGGCTGGTGCTCAAGCTAGTTCAATTCTTCCAGCTACCCCTTCTCCAGATAACTCAGTTGATTCATCTCAATCTAGTTGTGCTGAATCTTCATTAGAATCTCTGAAGACTTCACGATTTGGGGTCTATGGCAGTCAAGGAACAAAGACAAATCCAGACTATCAGGGTAGCCTCAATCCAATAGCTAGTTCTTTTAAAGACTTTACTGCATTGAGTGGTGTCGCATGGGAAAAACTGAGACGACGTGAAGAGATATGCATGTCACGTGTTGACAACCTAGACGTTGCTTCACCAAGTTGTGTAGACCCAACTAGTTCAAATTGCTTTGAGAAGAACGAGCTTTCAGAAGCAACTGGAACGAAACTGTTTCCTCCGTTGAGTTTTCTAGATTCTCTTGGGAACTCCATGGACCTACCTTTCTGGGGGATAGGAACTCCAATTCCTTCACATTCAATGGGTGAATCAGTAACTCTACCTCCGCTTTCTTCTCTTCTAGCAACTGCCAGGCAATCTAGTCGTTTGACATCAAAATTGCCCCTTAATCTTGACCAGTTCCCCCCTGTAGATTTTCCACCCGTCCTGCCTGAGTCGTTGGTCATGCTGCCGCTGCCCATACCAACATCACAGCAGATCGTGACCTTCTCACCTTTAACATGTGACCCAATTGTTCATATCCCGGTTATTGAAGTTTGCTCCTCCGGCCAAGGGTATTTGTTCAGTGCGGGCCCTACGATGTCGACAACTATTCCATCATTAGGCTCAGATCTTGTGAAGCCTCTGATTCCAGATGTGGAATCAGTGGTTGAAAAAGGTGCTAGGGAGACGCTTCGCTTGCTCATCAGTAGTTCCAACCAGCCTAATTCGCAGCTGCTTGATGTATTTCCCTCTGTCCTGACCAGCAGCGGTCATAAGCAAAACATACTTGCTGTCAGTAATAGCATCACAGCTATGAGCATGGTTCCATTCTTGGAAAAGTCTTTGGAAAGCAGCATTAGCAAAGGATGCATTAGCAGAGATGAGTCGGTTGATCAAACAGAGAAGCCCGCTGGTTTTGGGCCGTCTTTTTTAGAAGATTATTGGTCCAACTCGAGAGATGAGAAGGACTGATTTAGAAACATGCTTTCTTTGACCAGTTGTAGATTCAGTTTAATCATGGAAATGTAGATGATATCGAGTTGTAGCTTTTGCATCCAGAATTGTAATTAGCCTCAAAAGTGTCCTTTTTTGGCTTTAAAGAAAGGGGAGGGGAAATTTGTTTTTATCTTTCAGCATCTTCATTTCCTTTGGTAGAATGTAAACCATCTCGTTGTTTCACAGTATTTGGTGTGCAAAACTTTTTGTACTTCACAATTTATAAAGGCTAAATTAGTCTATTTATCATTGTGGGGGGATTGATGACACTGTTAAACTATTACTATGCGTATACATGCTAAAATTGATCTATCCATTGGCATTTACTATTCTTATTTGACCTGCAAATTTCTGAAGCCAGTTTTAGGCGCTAGTTTGATTATTTGTTAAGGATTACTGTTTTATACACGGTTTAATGTATGGAAAGATAAAAGTAAATGATGGATAAGTGTGTAGTAATTAAGAATTGTTCGAAATTTGTGGATAAAACTTGATTTGGTGTCGATAAGCAAGAGCCAAGCGACTTATTTAAGAGCATTATGTTGGTAAATATGAAGCTCACATTGCTCTATCTTCTCCACTAAAAGAGAATAAGATTGACAGCGAATCGAGGTTATTTGAAGTAAAAAACTTGGCACCAATTTTAGTGTAGAATGGACTTCGAATCGAATCTAAGCTTAACGTGAAAATTAATAAATTCATTTCGGTATACAGATTTCTTAGAATTAATCGAACAATTCAAAGAGAAGGCAAAATGGAAAGATTGACCTCGAAACTTCTCATTTCTCTCTCCTGAAACATTGATGGTTTATGATTTTGAAATGACGTTAATAATAAATTTAATTAAACTGTGTCAATCGATCATCACACTCACACATTTATTTAAAAAAATAATGTTATTCATATGTGTAAATGTCTATATCATTTACAACCGGTTTGAGGCGAATTAATAGCAAAAAAAAAAAATAAAGTACATGACCGTTAGTTTCAAAAAATTTGAATTGGTGTCGTATAAAAAGTCAAACATTGCGGCTCAAACGGTTGAATTTCTCATTGTATTGTCTGAATAATGCACTTCAAACAGGGGCTTAATATGACTCTGAAAGTACTCTTACGTCCAATCTAATTAGAAAAAAAAATGTTGTTGAGGGGTGCATACATATGATAACATTAATGTTTGATGTTTAGTAAATGAATAATGTTACTTGCAGTCGCTCACTGCAGCAGTCGTCCTATGTGGCACATACATGACATGTAGTTATTTGATACATTAATGTGGTAGTTTTTGACCATATTTAATGCATCAAATACATACTTGACATGTGTGTGCCACATAGGACGACTGTTGCAGTGAGCGACTGCAAGTAATTTGATGTTTAGTAAATGAATAATGTTACTTGCAGTCGCTCACTGCAGCAGTCGTCCTATGTGGCACATACATGACATGTAGTTATTTGGTACATTAATGTGATAGTTTTTTGCCACATTTAATGTATCAAATACACACTTGACATGTGTGTACCACATAGGGCGACTGTTGCAGTGAACGACAGTAAGTAGCATTATTCTTAGTAAATGCATTTTGCGAAATTAATAAAACGAAATAGAAGAAAGTTTAATGACCATATTAAATTTTCACTAACAGTTCAATGACCTCCAATATTTCAAAATCTAAAAAGCGCTGATAATTTTACAACATAAATAATAATTATTTTGTGTAAACATAGACGAGTCCTTCCTCCAGTGAAGGTTTTTTCTCCCTTCCGCGGTTTCGCCAGTGAAGGCTTTCTTCCCGTCCGATGGGTCTCTTCCGTGAAGGTTTTCGCACCTTTCTCTTAAACTTCTCTCTTTCCTCTTCCCTAACCAATAACCCTAACCCTTACCCCTCTCTTGAGCGAGCTCGCCGGGGGGTGGGAGCTTCGGCTCCCACCACCCCCTGATTTTCTTTCCATGTTTTTCCTTTTCCGTCTTTTCTGTTGGCTGTGGTCTGTTGAGTTTTCGCAGGCTTGGCTTTGGGTGGTGCGGTACGGTGGTTGGACCGGTTGGCTTGGGTGGTTGTCTCCGCGGAGCTTCGGTTGGTGGTAGGGGCGAGTGAGGTTTGGCTTGCGGTCTCGTGCGGTCGGAGCTGGCGGTGGTTTCTGCTGTCGGGCACGGCCGATTGGGCTTTTTTGGCTGGATTCTAGTAATGGCCCTGGGGTGGTGCTGGGGGTGTGTTGTGTGTGTGTTGCTTTGTTAGTGTTGTTTTGGTGGTGTTTGAATTTTAGTTGTTCTGCTGGTTGTTTGGTGTTTGTGGTGTCTGTCTTGAGTCGTTTTGTTTTTCAGATTGTGTTGGTTTCGTTTGTTGGATTTGAAGTCTAGACAATGCCCGTTACTTTGTGTGCGGGGGGGTGTAAGTGCTGATTGCAAAGCTGGCTTTCAGTCGGGAATTTCTTGCACTGTAAAGTCACAGATGTTTTTAGACTTTTCGTGGTGGCGTCTGTGTTGGGTCGTGTTTGTATTCGTGGTCTGGTTTGTATGTTGTTGTACGCTTTGTGCGTTTTTAATGGATTTTCTATTTACATTCAAAAAAAAAAAAAAAAAATGAAGAGGTCAATTGAAAAACGTGGAAGCAACGTCAATAAAATAATTTTAACCTTTGCACACCGACGATGAAATTTCATTTGTGATCACTAAACTTTAGGATAAATTTCATTTGAATCACCCAACTTTAAATTTATTGAATTAATTCATTAAACTTCGATTTTCACCTATTATTTATTGAAAAAATGTAGAATTAAAAATTAATTATAAATAATATGTGCCAAACCGGACTAAGTATAGCAAATAATGAATTCACACGAATATTCTCTTCTTGGGAAAATAAATTTTCAGTGGCAACGAATTAAAAAAATTAAAATTAAAATTTTTCCATGAGTTGAGCCAATCAGCCAATAGGGAGAACGTAGAATAATCAAGATTCTACCAATATTCGTAATTTCGTATTGCAGTTGCAGCCAATAGGAGATAACAGAATTCGGGCTCTCCCTCTATAAATATAGAATTCGGGCTCTCTCTCTATAAATATCTCTTTCACTCTCACTCACTCTCTCTCAAGTTGCCCTTTCATAGCATTTTCATTTCAGTTTCAAAGCCTCCCAAGAAACCGCCATTTCCCTTTTCTTCATCATTTCTCACGCTCTGATAGTGATTGTGCAGTTGCCAGTATGAGCAAGGCAAGTGGTAGTGGTCAAGGAACCGCAAAATTAGATGACACCGTATGGGACTGCGTGATTCCGTACGTAAAGGAACCGCAAGATCGGGCTACGGTTTCTCTGGTGTGCAAACAGTGGCATAAAATCGATTCCCTCACGCGAAAGCATGTCACTATTGCACTGTGTTATGCAGCCACTCCAGACCAGCTCTCGCGACGGTTCCCCAACCTCGAGTCGCTCAAGCTCAAGGGACAACCACGCGCTTCCATGTTCAACCTTATTCCTTGTGACTGGGGCGGCTATGCTAAGCCGTGGATTGAGGAAATTGTCAAGTCTTTCAAGAAAATGAAGGCGCTGCATCTTCGTAGAATGATAGTTAAGGACTCGGACCTTGAATTGATTGCCTCCACAGCAATTGGGAAGGATCTTGAAGTGTTGAAACTTGATAAATGCTATGGCTTTTCGACTAATGGACTCTCTCATATCTGTCGCTCTCTCCGGTATTAATTTTGTTATGTCCTGATTTATTTTGCTATTTTTCACTAGTTCCTTTAAAATTTTCGGTTAGCCATGGTGTTTATGTTCATTTTTGATTTAGAGTCTTAAGGATCTTGACTGAGTTTTTCTAAGTATTACTAACTCTTGATGCACTGTATAAATGTATGTATAGATGTGTGTGCTCAATAACAGATCCATTTTAAAGGAAGTCTAACACGTTTGGAAGCCAAAAAAAAAAGTAAATTACTTCTACTTTATAGTTAAAAAAGGCTGAAATTCTCTAATTTTCGTTATTTTTTTTTATCAAATCTATATTCTTTCTTGACATTTCAAGCTTAGCATAATCCCAATATAGATAAAAAAGTTGAAGTTTCTGAGGAAGCAGTTGATTGTTTCAAATATAGATAAAAGATAGCACTCATATGTATGAAGAATCATTGCATTGATCTTGATGTTTTAATCCCAATATCCAATATCATGTTGAAATTAACACATTTATAGTATTTTAGAGATCTTGATGTTTTAATCCCAAGAAAGCCAATGGAAGGAACAACATGGGATTGCAGAGGAATTGGAGTCACTAGATGTAGAAAAAAAACAAGAAAGCATCCAACTCGGAATGATGCCAGACTTGTAGTAGAAATAAAAAATACTTGAGCGTGAGAGTCAGTGTTGCTGATTTGTCAAAACAAGTTTTTCATGACGATGCCTTATTGAAAAGGATTAATCCCTTTCGATTCCCCTTCTCTAAAGTTAATATACTTTGTCCATATCAATAGAAAATGCTTGGATAGTGTATGTTTCCTGTAGTTCTGCTGAACTTAAATCGGAATTGAAAATTTTCTCTTAGTATTATTTATTCTCTTTCTTTTCTTATTATAACTCATTACTTGCTATTCTGTTGCTGCATCTGATTTTTTTATGCTGCAAGATGATTTAAACAATATTAATTTTCCCTTCTTTTCTTTAACCGAACTTCATTATATGTTCCGTGCTTCTGAAAGTTAGATTATAATCTTTAAAAAGATGGATTTCTTCAATAAATTATCATAGAATTATAACCAGGTGAAGAAATATTACGAATAGGTGGCCAAATACATGTCTATCAGTCTATGAGTATGTATTGGTTTTGAAAATAGGAGTTATTGGCCTGAGCACATAATTGATTAGATTATGTCTTTAATCTTTCCTCCCGTTTGAAAATATAATTGAATGATATGTTGATGTCATTAGTTCCATGTTTTCAAAAATTATCTTTACTTCTTTGCAGGAGTTTGAGGACCTTGGATATGGAAGAGAGTACAATAATTGAGAATGGCGGGGAATGGCTACATCAGCTTGCTCTGAACAATACAGTTCTTGAAACTTTGAACTTTTACATGACAGATCTTGTCGAAATCAAATCTGAAGACCTTGAACTGATAGCCAAAAACTGTGCATCTCTGGTCGTGGTGAAAATTACTGATTTTGATATTGCCGACCTCGTTGGTTTCTTCCGCAATGCAGCTGCATTAGAAGAGTTTTGTGGGGGCTCTTTTAGCAAACCACCTGAAGCTGGTGAAGGCGATCAAAATGAGCGATTAGAAAGGTATGCTGCGGTAGCATTTCCCCGAAGATTGTGCTGCTTGGGTCTTACGTACTTGGCAAGGCCTGAAATTCCGATTGTCTTTCCTTTTGCTACTCGACTTAAAAAATTGGATCTGCTATATGCTCTGCTAGATACTGAAGGTCATTGTCTCTTACTGGAAAGGTGTCCCAACTTGGAAATGCTTCAGGTAAAACTTATAATTTGTGTTTCTCCTATTTTGTTAATCATGCATATGCATTTCCTTCATGTGGATGGAGGGTGCTATGTCCCAACTTCGTGCCTGAATTTTAGTGTTTGTTGATTTTCGTTAGATTGTTGAATGTAATATCTTCTTCGGCAGAATTGGGATATGTTTCTTGCTATGTCCCAGTTCGATTGTCGATGTGTTGACATGTTTCTTGCGTATGAAACTGTAAAGAATATGAATAATATAGGACGTCGCGTCACTCGTGTGTCCAAGACGTGTGCAATAAATGTTTCTTAAGTTTTTCAAAATTTAAAATATATAAAAAATAAGATATGTCATGTTAATTGTCGGTGTCTCACACTTACACGCCATCTAAATAGAAGTGTCCATGTTTTGCAGATTAAAAATTTTATTATTGAGAATATATGATATTATGAATTTATGATGTCTGTGGAGAATGAAATCAATCTAGTGCTAGCAATCTTGTCTAAGGATATCAACCATGCAGAACATCAAGACGTGAGCAGATTCAAAACTAGGGTATTGGTCTTGGTCATGATGATTGATAAGATAATCTTTAAATTATGAAGAAGTTTTGCCTTGTATTTTAACAAGGCAAAATACTCCGGAAATTACTATTAAATTAGAAGAATAAGGAATATCGCATTTATTTTCTTATGCTGTTGGACCGTTTAGATATGATATGCTATGTAATGTCTCCAGTGTTCATTATAAAATTTTGAAGTTAAGTAATTAAACACGATTTTGTCTTTGTGAACAGTCAAGGGACGTGATTGGAGATAGAGGATTGGGAGTTGTTGCTCAGATTTGTAAAAAATTGAAAAGACTCAGGATCGAGCATGGCGATGACATGGAAGATGTTGAAGGCGTGATTACACACAGAGGATTAATCTCTTTGTCACAGGGATGCCTTGAATTGGAATACTTAGCTATTAATGTGTCTGACATCACAAATGCATCCCTAGAATGTGTAGGCGCGCACTTGAAAAAGCTCTATAGCTTCCGGTTGATCTTAATTGAGAAACAAGAGACGATAGCAAATTTTCCGCTTGATAATGGAGTTCGATCTTTGTTGATGGGTTGTAATAAACTTACTGGCCTTACTTTGTATCTTCAGCCTGGTGCGCTAACAGATGTGGGTCTCAGTTATATTGGAAAGTATAGTCCAAAAGTGAGATGGATGCTTTTGGGTTTTGTTGGGGAATCTGATAATGGGATTTTGGAATTTTCCAGAGACTTACCTAGCCTCCGAAAGTTAGAACTGAGGGGATGCTGTTTCAGTGAAGGTGCACTAGGAGATGCTATACTACGACTACCTTCGTTGAGGTGTTTGTGGGCGCAAGGATACACTGAATCTGGAGCTGATTGGGATAAGGTACATGAGAAGCGTCCAAAATGGATTACTGAGTTCATTCCAGCAACACAAGTTGTCGTTCCTAATGAAAATGGAGAAGATGTATTCATTGAGAATAAAGCCCAAATTCTGGCATATTATTCACTTGCTGATCAGAGAACAGACTTTCCATCTACTGTGGTGCCCTTTATCCCCAAGGTTACAATGGATGAATAACTGTGTATACCTTTAAGATCCCTGTGTTTAGGTGTCATGTAAATAAAATTCCTTACCAGTTGAGACACTTTCTGTTCTGAGTTTAGTGTAATAAGTTTTTGCTTTCGTAGTCCTTTTCATTTCTATAGAATTTTGATGTGTTGGAGTAATACTAGGAAGGTGCAGTAAAATTTCACTTGTGTAGTTGCAGAACAGGTCGACTGAACATATGCTTCTTTTCTCTGAATGATAATAATAGATTGAATTCTTTTTTTCTTTTATTAATAAAATTAGTGACATGGCAATGAACGGAAGAAAGTGATTGATTTTATGTAATTACGAGAATACTATTTAAGCTATGTTTGACAAATGTAGACAATGTAGGCCAAATATTTTGTGATATGAAGATTTTTCTTTCAATAAAAAATATTTTGTTTATCTATTTGACATATAGTGATACGTGCACCTCAATTTTTTTTAACGGCAAATCGACTAGAGTACTACTTAAATTCATTTCATTATTTATATATGTCTCGATCTCCATGACAATACTTCGGAATCAATGTTGATACTGTGAACAAGCTTCTTAACATGATCATAAAGTAAAAGATCGATTACTCAAGTTCAGGAAGGGTTCTTGAAAACCAAATGAAACTTGTAGAAATATTATGGATTTACTTCTATAAATGGTAGCCAACCAAAATAAAAAATGCTAAAACTCTATATTTTAGATCAGGGGCAGACCCAGGAAGGAAGTTCAGTGGGGGCGAAACCAAAAAACTTTGGAAAAAAAATTTGAAAACCTAAAAAAACCTAGAAATTTTTTTTTTAAAAATTTGAAGGAAAATCGGGAAATCTGAAAATTGAGTGAGGGCAGCGGCCTCCATTGGGCCTCGTGTAGGTCCGCCCCTGTTTTAGATGATCTTGAATTCATGCAAAACGAAAGAAAGAAAATTTCGATACAACTTCTTAGAGAGAAAGTATATTTCCAAAGAAAATTATCTTTAATTAAAAATCAAAAGTCGCATTGTACGTTCTTAGTGACTTCATGCTTGCTTTAGCCGGCTGAAATTTTAAAAGAATTCTTAATACTCGGACTCACATATGATTTTAATCAATGATGATAACAATAAGTTTACATGTAGTGATTACCTAGAATATTAGTTATGCTATATGATTGTCGTCGACTAAGCAATTTCTGCTTGTTCATGGAGTGATCTGTAATGAATTATGAAAAAAAAATTATAAAATTTGAAAATAAGCACTTGTTTGACAATCATTAAAATGATTTTTTTGAGAAAAATGAATTTTGGAATAATAATTTTTTGGAGAACGTGTGGTTAAAAAGTAGGAAAAAGTTTTAAATTTACGTGTAAAATATTTTATTGTTGTGATTTGAACTGAGTTTGAAAAAAAAATTTGTTTCATTTATTTTCAAACTCGGGCTAAATTAAGTGAAGTGTTGTGCTTACAATGAATATAATGTTCAGGAAATTTGTTTCATTTATTTTCAAACTCGGGCTAAATTAAGTGAAGTGTTGTGCACACATTATTCAGACGCCCCAAATTTTATTTGGAATAAAATTAAGTGTACAACATTATATATAAGAACTGCACTACTTGTACAGTGTTTAGAGGGCTGTAAATTTTACAGCCCTTTCTAATTAGTGTGGGATGTAAAATTTACAGCCTCTAAACACTGTACAATAGGTTTTTTTTTTTGTATATATAATGTCACATGTAGTATGATTCTTTTATTTGTGCTCCTCAGACTTCTTTGTTCAAAGTTTGACATTTCCAAGAAGCTCAAGATCAAGAATTCTTAAGGGGATGTTCTCTTTGTGTTTCAGTTTTAAATTTTGAATTCATTTTGTGTTTTGAGTGTCGCCTGTTTCGAAATTGCTGAAAATGTTCTTTTTGTCATTCTGAAAAACTGTTTCTTAAAACACAAAAATGGAAAACGCGTTTACTTTGAAATTTTGAAAATATTTTTTAAAATATTTTATTCAAGAAATCTGATTGTTCTATAAATTTATTTTTTTAATGCTAATATAGTATTAAATAACATATAAATTTTGAAGTTGATGAATCTTGAAATATTTTTTTCCAGATATAAAAAACATAATCTAAATTAAATTTGGAAAGTCCTTGTTTTTGTCATTGTACGTAACTTGTGAAAAAAATTAACTAGCATCAAGTCACAACCAATCATAATCAAGTTGCAAAAAAGGGGGAACACTAATCTCATGTTGACAAGTAGTAAATATTTTGAAATCATTCTTATCGAACTCATGTTAGATCTCACAATTCTTTCCAAATACAATTTTGATCGTCTAAACATGATTATTATCATCAGTGTGGCTTGTTCCATAATCTTATCTTTAATAACATAGCCTCGAGTGTTGTGCTTTGCATGATTGTTATGTACTTGACTTACGACAACTGCTTCTTGTTGTCACGGCATTGCACGAAACCAAACCTTCCAACATTGAACAAACAAGTTTATGAGATTATCCTTCCATCATAATCAAGTTCCTTGTTCTATTTGTGCATGTCGACAAATTTGGAGACCAATTCTCGATTTTTCAAACTAATTGGTCATGTAAGTCCAGTTTTCACAATATGAGATAATTAGAGACGTGAATACGAGTAAAAATAACACACAAATATAAGAATGGGATGAAATCAACCCTCATCATAAATCGATTATATATATATATATATATATGTGCAAAATCAACCCATTAATTGTAGAAATCTATGATCAATTCCAATCCAATAATTGGACATATAAAAAAAACTAAAAATTTGCTCACTCAATAAATAATTACTCAGGTAATTGATCATTAACTACATTCAGATTTTAAAATCTATCTACCTATCTATATATACTCTCATTGAGAAGTATTTGGGTCATCTTCTCCATCGTCATTAGCCTGTGGCTCCAATAGATGATGAGCTTTTTTTTGATAACCTGCATCTCCCAAAATCTCACATTTTATGCACAAAAATACCAAATTCCTTATTCCAAATTAATTAAACCAAAAATTAAAAATTTGGAAACAAAACCAAATCCATATCGTCAACTAGATGCAAAACCAAATAAATTCCAAACAAATGGAACCCAAAATCAAACAAATTTCAAACTGTTCGGAAATAACTTACCAAACTGCTCCAACAAGCTCAGCCGATTCCAGATGAAATTGAGGCTCACCCATGGTAGAACTAGATGCGCCTGGTTGTGAGAAATATTGTGGTAGTGCTCCACGATGGAGAGGGTGGCCAAATGTGGAAGTAACTAGCGAAATACCATGACTGCACTCGCGATTTTGGATGGGAATTGCGGCTGTTTCTGGCGGTCGGTGGGCAGGCGACAGTTGGAGGCTGTAGAGGGAGGTGAGGGAGTGTCGGTGTTGTGGAGGTCCGGTGGCTTAGGTGGGGGGTGGTGGAAGTTATTGATGGAAGGAGGAGGTGGATCCAAAGCTCAGGAAGACGTTTTGAGAGAAATGGAGAGAGGGGCTATTTTTCGCGTTTTTGATTTTTTGGAAGGAAACGCCCAAAACGTTGGGTTTTAGTTGATTTTTTTTGTTTGTTTTCCAAAATTCATTTTTAAAAACGGAAAAGAAAACGCGTTTTCACTATTTTGAAAATTTGAAAACAGAAAACGGTCTGAAAACATAAAACAGAACAACTCCTAGTTTCTTTCTTTTTTCAAGGTGTTCTAGTTTTTGACCAAATGTTCTCAATTAACTACTCTGTATAAATTCTTGCTATAATTTGTTCATCCGATTGTTTTCCATTTGTGCTGAAACCAATAATTTCTTGTCTATATCTCTTCATTCTACAATTTGGGTCACCCCCACCCAACATTTTTTTCTATATGACTAGTCATTTTTTGTGTGGGTGTGGGTGTGTGTTTTTCAGATTTGAGAATAAACCTATCAAGAAGAGAGGAAAATTGTCGTGTTAAAGATCAGATTTGTAGAGTTTGTGTTGCATTGTCTTTCATTGGGACACAACAGAAATGCAAGGCCTGTGAAAAGACAGTTTATCCAGTGAAGCTGTTGTCTGCTGATGGAGTGGATTATCACAAATCTTGCTTCAAATGCTCTCACTGCAAAGGAACCCTCAAGGTATCTAACATTTTTTATTGCTACGGGTGCTCCTATTTTTTAGAATGATTCCATTTGCATTTCATTATTATAAATTTATGAATAAAATTTTAATTTTTGCAAAAAAAAAAAATGCAACTTTTATGGCTGATGGTGTATATGTTGGTAGATTTATTAATAGGTTTATTGAAGTTTCTTCTTCTTTTTGTTTGTTTTTGGTTTACTGGGAAAGTCCCTGACAGTAAGTAGCTCATAAACACTAGTAAAATATAGTTAATAACAATGTATTTAATTTAAGAAATCAGACTTGCATAATGTGGGAACAGTATCTGCAGCTTAAAGTTACAAATTTTGCACCAGTAAACTTGGTTTGAAAGGTAGAAATTTATTGCTAGCTTACTCGATCAGATGGGATTTTTCTCCCTCATTATGGATCCCATACTACCCCCATTAACTGAAAATCCATAAACCAAATTGGTGTTGTGCGTGGTCAAAGATTTGAAGAATGAAAATAGATTGCAAGTGCCTGATTGAATTGATCTAGACTCTAGTGCTAAGATTTTCCCTGGCTCCATAATTTCCATGAAAAAGATGATGCATATTTCAATGCAATGCCAGTGAGGTCTATTGCTATTCATGGGGTTTTGTAAATATATTTCAGCTGAGCAATTACTTGTCGATGGAAGGTGTTCTCTACTGCAAACCTCACTTTGAGCAGCTCTTCAAGGAGACAGGCAGCTTAAGCAAGAATTTTCAGACACGTATGCCTTCTCTGGCGTGACCTGACATTTTTTACCCTAAAAAATTAGTTAGATATTCTCTTTTAATTGCTTTTTAACAATTCATTTCATTGTCCACAGCTGCAATATCTTTTTACCTCTGAATCTGAATCTTTTCTATAATGTCCAGACAAGATCACCAAGCACAGCTGCCAGCATGTTCTCAGGAACACAAGATAAATGCGCTGCTTGTGATAAGACAGATTACCCTCTTGAGAAGGTACGACAAAGATTTCTTTAAATGGCATCTTGATACAGCTTTATTTGAAAATTTATGTGATTTCTTTATTTTCTAGATTGTGTAGTCCAGATTTTTTTGTTTCTCGGAATCGTGTTTTAATTTGGTCCCTAGTTGCAATTTGGGTGAAAGTTTTTTGCTTCTATAGTAGTAGTTTGCAGACATTTGATAATTTCTATTTAAAGTGAGTTCTACATCTTTGTACAGTTGTATATGGTGTGAAAGGAAAAAGCATTATGGTGAGCCAGAAAATGTGTGTTTCCTCTGTGTAGCCGTTCGTCCACCCTGCTTTCACTCAAACTTAAATTGTAGCAATAAACTCATGCATCAGGAAACGTGTTGGAGGGGTTGTATGCAGAGTGCAGCTGTCTTGGTAAATTCGTCGTGTGCTACTTCTGGCATAATTTGCCATAACATGACTTCGAGTGCATATGATTGTTTATTATGACAATTTACTTGTATGTTGATGCATAGTGGAAGTTGACTAATGAGTGAGTTTGACCCTTTCCTATTGAAGTACGTATGAATATCGATCTCATAAAAAATGTCGCATGTTCCTGTATTCAGAATTTTTGTATTCGGAATTTGCATTTATTATTGGCTGACCAGCTGCCAATGTGATGTGTAGTGATAGGTTGATTGGAGTGATTAGACATTGGCTATATGTTTGGTATGGAGGATTGTTTAGCACTCGACAATAGTAAAGAAGAAAAATAAAATAAAATCTTGTTCATTATACTCTTCATCTTATTGAGTATTAAATGTGCATGGGGTGGTTTTACTAGAGCAGCTAAGTTTTAAAGTATTTCTTTTCTTTCGTCGCTGCTGTGGGATTCAGTTACTGCTTCAGTTTTTCATCAGCATTCGATTTACTTTCGATTGTTATGGTTCAATGGATAGCGTGTAATTACTTGCAACATCGGGTAGCTTAGACACTTGTTACAGTTTTCCTCAACCTTTGTACCTGAAAAACTTGTGTGTAAATTGGAAAACCAAAGCTATCACAAGTCTTGTTTTAAGTGTTCGCATGGGGGATGCCCTCTATCTCCATCGAACTATGCAGCCCTAGACGGCATTTTGTACTGTAAACCGCATTTTTCCCAGCTGTTCAAAGAAAAAGGCAGCTATAACCATTTAATCAAGTCTGCATCCATGAAGCGCCCAACAGCCACAGTTCCAGATTCTTGATCTCGGTTTCTTTCCTTATCTCTACACGGGCTTATGTTCATTTTTTCTTTTTCTCTCATCTTTTATCTCCATGCAGGTAAAACCTGAGATGCTTGATCATTTACTGTGTTCTGTTTATGTTATCTGCGAAGTATACTTTGTCATTTGGTTAGATGTTCACATTTCCACTCTGTGACTTGCAGATTGATTATGTTATGGGATTTTTTTATTGATTATTACTGCTTAGTTAAAAGAAGTGCCTTAAAAGTAGAAATAACTTTCTTCTCAGTTGATAATGTTTTGGTAAATAAAAAGGATAGGTTGTGTTGAAGGTCTTTAGTTATACGTGACGGATACGTGATGATAATAAAAGGATCTTGTTCATAATACATCAGCGGGTGTTGCTCGAATACACCAGATTTTTGTTCGAACGGATGTGAGAAATGTTAGAATCCACCAATTAACAAGGAAAAAAAAAAGGAATGTCTAATTCACAAACCTTCAACACGTATTTAAAGACTTAAACAAATCTTAATAAAAATGAAATTTTAATTATGTAAATAAATTCAAATAAAACTAAAAAAGCTGCTAAAACGATGAAAATATCATTAAACCAACTCAAAATAGAAAAACATTAAAATGGATTCTTAAACTATGGAATTTGACTCTGAAAGTTTGGCCACTTCCGAATTGTACTGGCACGTGAGATTCAACCGAGTTGAAAATTACACACGATTTCGTGATTCCTTCTCTTTTCTAAATTGGTTTAGGATCCTCCCTTGTAACTGATCCCTATCATTTCCTATCAAGTAACTTGCTCATCTCTACTTCAACGAAGAGCATGCTTTGGGTGGCTTTTATAAGCATGAGATAGGGGATGCTTTTTCTCCCTTATTTGTAAGCATGAAAGAAGCCACCCCAAATATGAACTCAAACTTATAAGCTTTTACGCTAACCAAACATGCTCTTTATTAGAGGTCTAATGAGTAGCTGTATGCATTTCGCAAGAACAGTGTGCTTCAAGCTTCAATCAATCCACTAGTTCTTTCATTGATTAATCAATATATTAAAAAAATTGAATGAAATTTGACTGGATTCTACCATCCTTTCCTGAAAGAATACAAGGGACCAAAAAGGTTCTTTTTTTCCACAACCTCATGCTCATGCTAGGACAAACTAAGACATGTTATAAGTCACTTTTTATTAAGAAAACTTCCAAGGCTAATCTGGTGATGGTTGCTGGCGTACAGGTCGAAGCCTCTAACTGGGCTTCGGGAAAAAGTATATTTGGAGGGCAAAATCCTTAGACGAAAGCACATGATCCGTACTTTCCATGGGAAGGTTGCACCTCGCATAGTCACATTCATGTCACAGTATAGAAGAATATCAACTATTGATGCTTTTAGAGATTGTTCTCTCGTTTACTTCGCTTCTTGGCTTCGCTATAGAGTATAACGCCAATGACTGTGAGAGTATACCCAAGCATTCCAGTAACAGAGACGGGATTCCTAAATATTAATATTGAAATAACCACTGCTACTGCACCTTTTGCATTTCCTAGGACCTGAAAAAACAAATTTATGACTTAAACAATACATCGTTTATGATTATCAAGCTAAAAAATTCCTTTCTAGCCACACCTCACCATATTCATCATGGGAAAAAAAGAGAGTGAATGAATTGGAATAATCACAAACACAGGTGAGAATTCTGACAGGAATGGAGTTCAAGGACACAAAAATTGTTTCAATCATTGACTGAACGCTTTAGACAGTAGGATGTTTTATACATCTTCTAGACAAAGTAAAAATTGGGAGCTCATATTAAATTTCACGTCTTCTCTATACCAATTCAAAACATTTCTCTCTACCCGTTCATCTATTAGGAAAAGGAAAGGACAACATGAAACAAATAATAACTAGCAAACCTACCACAATTTCACACAATTCACTCAGATTTGCAGGGTCAATCAACAAATATATTCGTGAACTTGATGCTTTGTTGTCAGTGAATTTAGTAAATCTCTATGCAGAAATTTTATGAAATTCGAAAGTTCTATACCTTCAGTTCAACAAGAAATAACTTTCCAACATTTCCTATGAATACTATTAGTACTAATCTATGTGCCTTTTAGGACAACAATAACAGGATGGTAAATGAAATTGCTCCTTATTTAAATAGTTTGTTTTTCAAAAATTAAACAAATTACGGTGGTTTAGTTAGCCAAAATTAAGCCTCAACAACAACATTTACAGTAAGCAATTTAATAACTATAAAGAGATGCTAATGTCAGAGGTAGACACAAACCAAACTAGGATTAAGAAAGTAAGGAGGAGAAATCAACGCTTATGATCTAACAGAAGTTGCTCAAAAGTAGTCAGATTGGAGGGACATTTCTATCAGTAGGAACTTACATGTATTCCAAGTGAATATTATCCATTGGTTTTTACACTGTACACAAGGTTCCTTTATGTACTACATCGAATAAAAATATATTCCTGTAGCCAGATAGACGTGTGGGCTTCACAGAACATAATTCCATTAAGTAGAGGAATCTTTAGTCTAGTTATATGGAAACTAAAAATAGGACAAAAAAATTGCTAGAAATGTTTCTCCAACTCAAAAGCTGCCATTACTTCTTTTCACTATATTTTTTTAGAATAAAGCTATGTTGCTAAGCACATTTGCGGCAATGGCGTCACTACCATATTGTCCTATAAAAGTTATAATGTATTTTTATGCATGGGATAATGCGGCAGTGACCCCACTGCTACAAAGGGCGGTGCTAAAAGCATCAGTGGGGGGTTGAATATCATTACTCTATTTTTTATGAAATATCCTTCGTTTTGTTTTCTTAATACACCAGATCTTGCTGCTCTTCGTTTTCACTCCATGGTGTAAAATATCGTTAGTCTTCTCTTTTGTTTCTTGAGATGAAAATTACAATTTTATTTTGGTTTAACCGTCAGCATAATAAATATATTTGCAAATTCAAATCCTAAAAAAGATTTAGTTAGGACTAGGAAGTAAGGAGTTACCTGAAGAGTCAGAGCACTAGTGTGCTTTGTGACCAAAAAATTGGTCAAGTTTACAAAATAAGCAAGAGCAGAATTGAATAGCAGTAACCAGACAATATTGATATCATCCCTTGCAAGTGCCAATGTGATGCCAACTACATTTTCTTCCATAAAGAGTGTTGCCGGGAGTAAAAGCACCACGGCAATAGGAGCCATGTACAAGAGCAGATTCATAGAATTGAGTTTTTCCCTTCAGAAATAACAAAACTTTCAGAAATGTTGTTTAATTAACGCACGTAAAGGCAATAAAACTCCTGTTTAATTTCACCAGAATATACAATGCATCAGATAGACAAACACTTACCCTTCTGAAGAAAGCAAAATTCCTTGAAGCACAGATTTTAGTGCCCTTGCAGCTGTTGCAGCAACACACACTATAAATCCAAATAGATGGAAACTTGGCTCACCCTAACATGATGAAAAGAATGAAAAAAATCAGTAACGAAATTGATTTCACCTCTAGTATCGTAGTAACAGGAATTAAGCAGTAACATACAAAGCACACGTGATCAAGAGCAAACAAGTTGTTAAATAACAGAGGCGAGGTATTTTCTTGCAAATCTTGCAATAATCAGCTTGGAAAAAACTAGAATTTCTATGTGAAAAAATTATCAACTTTATTCACCTAGGCATTACAACGAGTCTTTAAAAAATTGTTAGTATTTTCATTTTCCAGGCAAATTTATTCGATCAGCTCCAATTGACAGAATAATCTTTTTATCATCGCGGCATACAGAACAGCAGTACTACAATCGACATTTCCTCCACTTATCTTGATAACAGATTATCAGAAACATAATTTTCTGATCGTTGTTTTTCCAACAGTACAAGAAACCCACCCCGCTACGGCGCTACCCAATGAACAGAACCATAATTTTCTGATCGTTGTTTTTCCAACAGTACAAGAAACCCACCCCGCTACGGCGCAACCCAATGAACAGAACCATAATTGGTTCGCTCCAATTACCACTTAGAACTTCAATTAGACCAATCAAAACACTGCAAGATCAAACAAAAAGATCATACCAGATCCACTGAGTTCAGTAGATACACCCAAAACAAACAAAGACACATTCAATTCAACACAACAACATCACGATTGACGAAACGAGCAGAAATCCAACACATCTCTACAATCCAAACAAAAGTAAATACATACCCCGCTAGCAATCACGACTCCCGTGACAACTGGAATCAAAGTCACATAAGTCAACCATGCCTCCCTTTTCAACGTCATCAAATACGCGAACACCGCAGTGAAAAAAGGCGTGGTGGCCCCTATCGCCTGGTTAAAGCTCACAGGTAAATACCTAAGCGAAACGTTCCCGCTAACAACAGACCCACAAAACACAAGACTCAATGCTGAGATCTTCATTAACTGAACCCTAGATCTTATGGTCTGCATCGGGACCATCTTCATCCACGCGATCGCAATGTAGCTGAACAACGAGCAAGCCGTCATGTGACACATGGTCAAGAAAATCGGATACTTGAATCCATAATTGCTCAACAAATATTTGTTCAAAAGCAAAACTCCAATGTTCGATGAGTACCACGCTGTTACTAACCCAATCGTGAAAAATCGGCCAGATGAATATGATTTCATCGCCGACATCTTCTTTCAATACAATCAATCCTACAAACTGAAACTATTCAAAAATTATATGTATAAATTTATACACAGATAATTAACAAAGGTGGGGAGATCTGCAACGCATTCGTGATGCAAATATGAAATTTAACGGATCTGGTTCATTTTCATCATACAGTATCAAAAAATCTTAAATTTCTCTCTTTTGCATATATGTATATAAGTACAGATGTACTGAATTATATATAGAACGTATGGACGAATTGAGATATAATGGGGAGACGTCGAGACGACCGACGAAAATTTGGGGAGAGAGAGAGAGAGAGAGAGAGAGAGAGAGCACGGAGTGGGGGACCGGGGTTCGAATCATGTGCAGTCCCCTGTTAATATTCATGGATTGGATGGCTTGATTTCTTTTTTTGTCTATAACAATTTAATGAATTTATAGATTCCTTTCCTTATCCTTATTAAAAATATAAATATATTTTATTTGCTAATAAGTCCTCAATATAACTTATTATCAACAAATAAAAATTAATTTTATTAAAATGATTATTTAATATTTATTGCTATCGATTAAAATTCAGATTTTAATTTAAATTAATGTTAAAAATTAATTTTAACCATAAATTTTATAGATCTTACAACTTTTCAACCACGCATTTCATTAACTTTTATCAAAATCTATTAAAAAATTAATTTTAATTTCCATCAAACATGAACTTAATGTAGAGTATATTGAAAAAAGCGTATATATAATCTTTAATTATATTTTGTTAGTATGTATGAAAATAGAAATAAGTGGGAGAAAGTAGACATTAATAAAATAATAATGAGAGTACAAGCCTACAAATGGAAATTCTCGAACATATTGAGGGGGAATTTATAGGAATAATTGAAAGTTAGGGGGTTCATTTTGTTATTTTTAATTTGAGGAGCATTCCATGAAAAAGAAAATTTGTACTATTGATCCCTGATTTGTTTTTTTAGTGGATTAGTCTTTTATCTTTTATAAATTGATCTCTTATAATTTTTTTATAAAAATTGTACTATTGATCCCTAATTTTATTTTTTTAGTGGACTAGTCTTTTATCTTTTATAAATTGATCTCCATCATTTTTTTTATAATAGTTGCAAGAGACACCGCCGAGATCAAGTGGTAAGAGAGAAGTCTTACGAGTACAATAACATAAATTCACATTTTCAACTACACAAAGTTAGATTTTGCATTTCAACTTAGACCAGTACTAAAAAACTTGAAGAGAGATATGCTTTTAATAGAAATATACGATATTTTTTTTGTACATGTGGACTATTTGTATAGCTATAACGAAATGTTGAAATCAACGTGCTTGTTCAATTGAAAATTTTCAGGATTAACTTGTTTCAAATTTATATATATCAAAGTAAAGTAGGTACGTTGACTATTCATGATAACAAATTTTGGTAACTACGTAATAAAGTCAACCGTAACGGGAATTATATGAAATTACAACCAAGCCCTTATTTGGTCGCAAAACTCATTTTTCCTCTAATTAATTTTTAATCACACATTTATATGACCCACAACTTTTTAACCATAAATCCAATCAACTTTAATCACAATCTACTAAAAACCTAGAAAGTAGTAAAATCCGAGTGGTCAAAATGAATGAAGTTTAATAGAGAGGGGTAATTTTGAGAATTCGGAGATAGTGACAACCAGTACGTAACGTTAGATCTAGAGCATGTTTGGTAAAAATTCTCATTTTCTACATTAAATCAATTCTCATTTTCAACCACACATTCTTCAATAAAATAATATTTTCCATCACATCAATACTTTTTTCTTATTTTTCAACCACACATTTCCCATCATATCACTATTCAAAAATCAATTCTTCCCCCAAAAATCCCTACCAAACACACTCTTAATGTGAATAAAGCAGAGCTGGATTTGTTGGGTAGAGCGAATAGTTTATTATGATTATTAGCCTGTTTGGTAAAAATTCTCATTTTCTACAGTAAATCAATTCTCATTTTCAACCACACATTCTTCAATAAAATAATATTTTCCATCACATCAATACTTTTTTCTTATTTTTCAACCACACATTTCCCATCATATCACTATTCAAAAATCAATTCTTCCCCCAAAAATCTCTACCAAACACACTCCTAATGTGAATAAAGCAGAGCTGGATTTGTTGGGTAGAGCGAGTTTGATATGCCACGTGGCTTAATTTACAAGCACAGCACGTAAAATATTATTTTTTAACTAATTGAATCATCATATTTTTAGCTAATAATGAATTGACTTGTGAAATTAGACTCATTGCCATTGATTTGCAAATTTGTTGTCTTTTTATATTAGATTAATCCTTTAGTAAGTGACAAATGGAAACATCTTGCAAGTTCTCATTCTTGGACTAATCTACACCAATTTTGGTATAATTTAATTTTTCATTTTCAGTAATTTGATTTGATTGCATTTATTTTCTATAAAAAATATCAATTTTCCATTCAAATTCCTATTTTGAAATATTTTATTACTATTTTTTTCACGAAAAATATTTTCCAACTTTTAAAAATATGCCTAATTTTCCTTGTTTAAAAAAAAAAAAAATTCTTTGGAAGGTAAGTTTTTATTTTCTTCAAAATAAAGAAAATATTTTCTTTTTTTAGAATATATTTTCCATACCGATCAAACACACTCCAAATAAATTTGGTGTAAAAGTTACTCCAAATTTGATATAAACTATTGAAGACCGATTTACAATAAATTTTACAACGAATTTTATTTTGAATTATTTTATACCAAATTTTATTTTACAAATTATATTATTAGAAAGCGTTAATTATATTTAATGAAATAAAATATTGCATTTTGAAATAGACATTAAACATAATACCACAAATTATAGAAACTACATTGAACAATTTTAATTTATTGTTGAAGTAATAATTACTTATTAATTGATTAGAATTTAAAAATAAATATTAAATAAAAAAATAATAATATTAAAATAATTATGAATCAATTAGAATCTATTAATACTAAAATATTAAATAATGTCGTAGATGAAAGAAACAATTTTTAATAAAGTGTGAACATTAAATGAAAAACTCATATTTCAAAAGATCGTCAATCAATTCTATCTATTTATAATTTTAGCTGTTTATAAATGTTTCCCAAACGTGCTATAAGATTTTCTACCATCTAATTGCTCATTGTATAGTTTAGCTTATCACAATAAAGAAAATAGTTATGTAAATTAAACGGAAAGCTAATCTCCCCAAAACAAAATACAAATCAATACTTGGGAGTCAATGATACGATTGAAATGGAATGATAAACTGTCAAAATATTTCGCAAGTTCAATTCTTTTCAATAGACAAACGCGACAGAAATGAAATAGCTACTATGATTCGAGATGCACTAACAATTTAACTCTTACAAAGAAATTATACAAGCACTATGACTTCAATAGAGAGTACGAACCTAAGACTTCACTCCCTTCTGCAGCTTCAACACTGCAAAGAGAAGAAAAGTTGAAACATAAGGATTAGAGTGCAATGGCAATCATGGGAAGATCATAAGTTCCAGTTCTAGCAAATTATCGGGTGGCAACAAAATATACTTCAAAGACAGACCATCGGAGATTTAAGTAATTATTCAGGAAAATTTCAAATGCCTTGGTATACCATCAGGAGAAGTGATCCAGAAGAGGGTAATTCACTCAGCCAAATTCAAAAGAAACCAAAATAAAAATTTATTTTCGAGATTTTGACTCCATGGTGTTCGTGCATCTCTTCACTAACATTCTTAATTTTCTCTATTTGTGCACAACTATAATACGTCGTCTCCAATGGAATAATTTCTCTCCACGAACACCACTGGAACATGCACAACGTTTTCTTGCTCTAGCCTTCAACTGATCTAAAATCTTATGGGGAAAATCCACCACAAGCCAGCGCCTCAACCCAATCCACAACTCCTCTTCCCAACATTTTCATTACTACCCTTTCTTTTTAATTTCCACACATACCCACTGAAAAGCCATAACATCTAATACTTTAAACTATGAAGACCAACTTTTGTGCGACAGATTTTTTTTGTCAAATTGCAGCTCCTTCAACGAAGCCAAGAAGGAATCCCTCGAGAACATTCTGTAATGCAAAGGAATTTTCTTCTTCGGATTCTTGTTCCCTTTTGAATAGGAAACCAGGAAAATTATGGCATGTTTCACCAAATATCAGTTGAAACATTTGCTTAAAATAATGTTTCTATGCATGGCTTATACCATCATAAATGCTTTTTACAAACTATATATTAGACAATTCAAATATTCCATTTGGCAAAAATTTGATATATTTAAACATTATTTTACCATGTGGCAAGTATGATGCATTAACAATAAGAAAGGTAAAATAATCTCATCTACATCCAATGTTGCCTATTATCTTCAACTAAGACCAATCTCGATGCACAACTCGAAATGCTTTCAACAACTTTAATACATTCAAAGTTGTTTATCGCAGCAACTAACCTACTTAACAAGCAAAGAACTATATTTCAGGAGAGAAGAAAGAAAAAGAAAAATACCCATATTTACAATTTGAAGCTTTAAGCAAATTTTCATTTTTGAACAGCTCGCGACAAAACCAACGTTGATAATTATGAAACTGATATAAAATAAAGTGGCATATAATAGTATTAATAAAATATTATCGAACTAAGAAAAACAAATCCACATGATACAAAAAAGAAAAGAAAAGAAAAGCAAAAAGGCCATTTGTAGCAGCTAGCAACAATTATTCATCAACATACAGAAACATCAAATTACTTCGTACTGAAAACAAAAATTCCGCCCCCAGTTCAAATGACATCGAAGAAATGTATACCATCAAATGCTACTCGGGTACATGAAGACACGAACACGAGCGCCCATGGATTTGGGGGGAAGATTAGACTTGAACTTGGCACGAACAACGCCGCTGTTTCCATGGGGCCTAATGACCTTGCCCCAAATGCACCTGTAATG